TCCTGTCTGTTGCGTGTTCTGGTGTGTCTCTCATTTCTTGATTATTTTATTTTATTTTATTTTATTTATTTTTTTATTTATTTATTATTATTTTTTTTTTTAGATATTTTTTTTATGTCCAGTCTGTTGCATGTTCTGGTGTGTCTCTCATTTCTTGATTATTTTATTTTATTTTATTTTATTTATTTTTTTATTTATTTATTATTATTTTTTTTTTTAGATATTTTTTTTATGTCCAGTCTGTTGCATGTTCTGGTGTGTCTCTCATTTCTTGATTATTTTATTTTATTTTATTTGTCCTTTCTGTTGCGTGTTCTAGTGTGTCTCTCGTCTCCTGACGTCTCTGTGAAGAATGTAAACATCACACAGACAGATGAATCATTATTAATATGCAGCTTGAACAGTAATGATGCTTCTTAAAGAAACTGAGATTTTAATTGTTTCTAACTTTGAGTCTTTAACGCTGTGTGTTTATTGGCGTCTATTCTGGGAAGCGTTTGATGGTCGACTGTAGATCGAAGTATTCTGTTTGAAATTCCAGAATTCATGAACTTCTGTAATAATGATGTTTGCTGCAGCGGCTGCTCGCTGTGCTTTAGAAACCTGATGTGTTTAATAATGTTGAGTTATTAAATGTGTTAAATGCGGTTTCATACTGACTCCAGGACAGCGGCAGGTACTGAATGTTCTGAAATAAACATGAAGCGTGAATCAGATCTAGAATGTTTCCTTCCTCGAACACTCGCTCTAAGAAACGTGTCAGGAACATATTCATTATAAAAAGTATAAAAGTATATAGGATATTTTTCAATTCAAGAAATAAAATATTTAAATTTTGAATTTAATATTTGTTAAATGTGTGTATGGAGGGCCAAATTACTCAAAGTTAAATCATAAAATAAATGGTGAAATATATAAAGAAATTGTTAAATACATAAATAAATGCATAAATTAATAAATAAATAATATTCATTCATTCATGACATGCTGACAACCGTAACCCTGAAATGAAATAAATAATAGATGAATGAATGAATAAATAAATTGTATATATATATATATATATATATATATATATATACCTGTGAATTTATAGTTTGTTATAAAATCTCGTCCAGAGCTCAACGATGGCCTTTTAATGGAGCCACTTTCTGTGGCTTTTTCTTCTTCTCACCGCGAGCTGCTAATTGTGACAGTATCACACGAGAACTGACGAGATGTTTCCTCTGATGCAACGTGACAAAAACACAACGCTTGAGATTTATTACAGTGCTTTCACAAAACATCGTCATTTAGTTACACTGGAGACTGATGGGAAAATCAGATCAAACTGTGAAAGAATTAATTTAATTGACTTTCAACAGACTTGTCCTTGTAAACAGAACACTGATGGTGTTTGTGGACATTGTATTTTACATGTATATATTTTACATGAATTGCATCACCGAGGCTGCATTTATTTGATCAAAAACGCTGTAAAATAGTTAAATATTATTGCAATTTAAAACAGCTGTTTTCTATGTGAATATCTGTTAAACTGTAATTTATTTCTGTGATCAAAGCTGTATTTTCAGCATCATTACTCCAGTCTTCAGTGTCACATGATCTTCAGAAATCATTCTAATATGCTGATTTGCTGCTCAAGAAACATTTCTGATTATTATCAATGTTGAAAACAGTTGTGCTGCACAATATCTTTGTTGAAACAGTGATATATTTTATTTTTTAGGATTCACAGATGAATAGAAAGTTCGAAAGAGCAGCATTTATTTGAAATGGAAATATTTTGCAACAGTATAAATGTATTTGCTGTTACTTTTGATCAACGTAATGTGTCTGTCATGAATAAAAGTATTAATTTCTTCTCTCTTCTCTCGTAGATCATCAAGCTGCTGGATGGCAAACGCTCTCAGACCGTGGGAATATTAATATCCAGCCTCCACCTGGAGATGAAGGACATTCAGCAGGGTGAGATATAACTTATTTAATTTGTTTCCTGATAGCTAAATTTCAAATACAGAAACAAAAATTGGGCTCTAAACCTCTCTTTTCTTTACTCAAAGTTGATCTAGACAAGTAGGCTAAATGGAAACTATCTGAATTTCTGTTCATCCTAAAACAGTGAAAACTGCATCTCTATATATTCATCCTGTGTGTCCTCTTAAAGTGTAAATATATCACTTTTTTAGTTTAACCATGGTATTTGTAGTAAAACTGTGGTTAAACAAAAACAAAAACATGGTTTCTACACTTTTACTATAGTAAAACCACTGTTAATTTTCCTAAGGGATTTATATTTGTGTATTCTTTCTTTTTTCTTTGTTTTTATAACTGTACTGCCTTAATGGTTTGATGTTTTCTACTGTTTAATAAAAAAATCAGAAAAAAAGATTTGTGAATCCGCTCCGAAACCCTGATCTCAATCAAATGATTCGCGATCCATCATTTCAGATCAGGATTCGGATCGTGCAAATGAATCAAATGATTCGCGATACGCGATTTGAAGTCCCGATCTGAATCAAAATATTTGCGAACCATCATTTCAGATTGGGATGTCAGAGCACGAATCCCACTCCGAAGTCCCGATCTGAATCAAATGATTCATGAACACGCTCAGAAGTTCCAATCTAAATCAAATGATTCGCGATTCGAACTCCGGAGTCCCGATCTGAATCAATTGATTCGTGAACGCGCTCAGAAGTTCCAATCTAAATCAAATGATCGCGATTCGCACTCCGAAGTCCCGATCTGAATCAAATGATTCGTGAACACGCTCAGAAGTTCCAATCTGAATCAAATGATTCGCGATTCGCACTCCGAAGTCCCGATCTGAATCAAATGATTCGTGAACAAGATCAGAAGTCCCGATCTGAATCAAATGATTCTTGATTCGCACTCCGAAGTCCCGGTCTGAATCAAATGATTCTTGATTCGCACTCCGAAGTCCCGATCTGAATCAAATGATTCGTGAACACGCTCAGAAGTTCCAATCTAAATCAAATGATTCGCGATTTGAACTCCGAAAAAATATTTAACATTTTTTAACATTCTAGCAGACATTATACCAACAAAGCAGAATTTAACTTAAAATTAATAAGTTAGTAAAATAATATTTTTTGGCGATCAGACCCCCTTCTTGAATCAGGCATGTATTTTTACTGTAAAATTAAAAGCAGCCTTGCTGAGCAGAAGAGCCTTCTTTAGACTTCTGAGCATGTTCACGAATCATTTGATTCAGATCGGGACGCACTCCGAAGTCCCGATCTGAATCAAATGATTCGTGAACATGCTCAGACGTCCCGATCTGAATCAAATGATTCGTGAACATGCTCAGACGTCCCGATCTGAATCAAATGATTCGTGAACATGCTCAGACGTCCCGATCTGAATCAAATGATTCGTGAACATGCTCAGACGTCCCGATCTGAATCAAATGATTCGTGAACACGCTCAGAAGTACCAATCTAAATCAAATGATTCGCGATTCGCACTCCGATGTCCCGATCTGAATCAAATGATTCGTGAACATGCTCAGAAGTTCCAATCTGAATCAAATGATTCGCGTTTCGCACTCCGAAGTCCCGATCTGAATCAAATGATTCTTGATTCGCACTCCGAAGTCCCGATCTGAATCAAATGATTCGTGAACACGCTCAGAAGTTCCAATCTAAATCAAATGATTCGCGATTTGAACTCCGAAAAAATATTTAACATTTTTTAACATTCTAGCAGACATTATACCAACAAAGCAGAATTTAACTTAAAATTAATAAGTTAGTAAAATAATATTTTTTGGCGATCAGACCCCCTTCTTGAATCAGGCATGTATTTTTACTGTAAAATTAAAAGCAGCCTTGCTGAGCAGAAGAGCCTTCTTTAGACTTCTGAGCATGTTCACGAATCATTTGATTCAGATCGGGACTTCGGAGTGCGAATCGCGAATCATTTGATTCAGATTGGAATTTATGAGTGTGTTCACTTAGCTAATGCAACAAAAGTCACCAAGTGTCATCTCATTCCGATGGTTTTTAAAATGTCAAAATGTAACATTTTTCAGTCAAAATGACTGAAGAGGTTAACAAATATCTAAGTTTGCAACAAAAAAAAAAGACGCTTAAAGCAATTAAAAAAAATGTGTTTTCTCAAAAATATTTTTTATTAATAAATAAATTAAAATAAATCCATTAATTTTTGTAGCATAAACAAAATAATGAAACATATAATAATAAATTAATATAATCAGAGACCTCATGAGATTTAAATGAGTCTAGAGAAAAACGCTGCTGCATACAAACACAATCTGAGCGTCTGTACACAGTCACATGATCAATCACACTCATTTACTCACATTTGATTGGTCACTAGAAATAGAGCACAATCTGATGTATTTCTGCTTCATAAGCTGTTTATTTCCAGCGGCCGCTTGCATAAGCTGCTTAGACTATAGGCTTAAAAGTTAGTCATTTGATTGTTTTATTTAACACAGGTCATAACTTACGTAAAAATGTAAACTGGTCTAATTTGAATCTGAAAAGTAAGACTAGTTGGTCAGACTAGTTAATAAGACACAGTTAATGCAACTGGCCAGAGGTGTAAATGTGTCTTTTCTGGGAGAAAATTAGGCTGAAAAACACCCAGAAAAAAACAGAAAGAAGCATTTCAAACACACACAAAAAAACTTTATTTTTGCAGTTGTGACTGTAGTAAACGGACAGATCTGGTGTTTGTAACGAGGATGTGTTTGTTTTGCGTCTCATGAAGTCTTTATATTGCAGCTGTTCTGACGGTGGATCATTCTGTGGTGGATCTGGAGACTATTGAAGCTTTATATGAGAACGTGAGTATTCAAATCCAGCCGTCATGAAACCCAAACCTTCACCAGATTAACACCTGATTTTTATTCTCGTTCTTCACTCTTTGTTTATTTTCTACAGTCGGTGTTTTAACAGCACCAGCTGTTTGTCTTTATTGCTTCATTAAATGTGTTACTGTGTGTGTGTGTGTGTGTGTGTGTGTGTGTGTGCGTGCGTGTTTATTGGGACATATGAGGACACAAATTTGTATAATGACATGGGTATGACAGGTATTACAAGGAGAAGGTGACTTATGAGGACATTACCCCATGTCCCCATTTAACTCTAACCATGATCTGATGATTTGATCAGTTTGTTAGTTGTTCCAGATTTTATTAACATTATATACTGTATTGTGTATTTCCTTTTTAAGACTTCATATCTGTGTGTACTAAAACTAAAACTGGTTTAGTTTAGTTTAGTTTATTTATTTATAAAGCACATTTAAAAACAACAGAAGTTGCAACCAAAGTGCTGTACAACAAATATAAAACAAAGTAAAAACATACCCAATCAAGACAGACAAAGGGACAAATAAAATTGTACACCCTCAAACAGAAACATACAGAATAAAAATAGGTTTTCAAAGAGGATTTAAACAAAGAAATAGAAGGGGAAGATCTTATGTGGAGGGGAAGACTGTTCCAGAGCCTAGGAGCTGCCACGGCAAAACCCCGGTCGCCTTTAGTTTTAAAATGTGAACGAGGGACTGAGAGGAGAAATTGGCTAGATGACCGAAGAGATCTAGAGGTGGAATGCGGAATGAGAAGATTACAAATATACTGGGGAGCTCAACCATATAGAGCTTTAAAAACAAAGAGCAAAATCTTAAAATCAACACGGAACTTGACCGGGAGCCAGTGTAGAGGCGAGTACTGGGGTAATGTGCTCACGTTTTCTAGTGCCAGTCAGTAATCTGGCTGCCGCATTTTGCACCAATTGCAATCGGTGCAGAGATGATTTTGGCAAACTCAGATAAAGTGAGTTGCAGTAATCCAACCTTGAAGTTATGAACGCATGAATTACTGTTTGAAGGTCATGGAAAGCATCCTCTTGATTCTAGCAATTGATCTTAATTGAAAGAAACTGCTTTTCACAACAGCACTGATCTGCTTATCAAAAGTCAACGCCAAGGTTTCTAACTCAGTCGCGTACATTTGATGACACGGGGCCAAGCTGCTTAACAATGCCAGAAGACACAGTTGTTGGACCAAAAACCATTATTTCAGTTTTATCATTATTCAACTGTAAAATATTCAAGTCCATCCAGCATTTAATGTCCTGAAGACATGCAAACAGATTAGACATAGAGCAGTTATTGTTTTTAACAGGAAAATAAAGTTGAGTGTCGTCGGCAAAGAAATGATATGATAAATTATGTTTCTGAAAAATATAACCGAGTGGAAGCATATATAAGGAGAAAAGGAGAGGACCCAAAATAGAGCCCTGTGGAACACCATAGGAGATTTGAGACCGAGATGAGAAACAATTCCCCAAATTCGCAGAAAAAGATCTGTCCTTAAGGTAGGAAGCAAACTGGAAACCAGCTACCTGATCAAGTCTTTGAAGAAGGATGTCATGATCTATTGTATCAAATGCTGCACTTAAATCAAGCATGATTAAGATACAGCAAGAACCAGAGTCAAGGGAAAGTAAAATATCATTAGTAACCTTCAAAAGGGCAGATTCAGTACTATGAAATTCTCTAAACCCAGACTGAAATGTGTCACAAATATTAAAAGTACTTAAGTAAGATGAGATCTGAGAATAGACAACTTTTCCCCAAACTTTTGAGATGAAAGATAATTTAGAAATGGGTCTATAGTTATTTAGGTCATGCTGATCAAGATTATGCTTTTTTAACAGTGGTTGGACTATAGCATGTTTAAAAGAAGCTGGTACGATTCCATTTGTTAAGGAGCTATTGATAATAGCAGTAACAACTTGACTTAAGGCTGGAAAAGCCTCTTTAAAAATCTGAGAAGGCAGAACATCAGAGTGACAAAATGAGGGCTTCATACTAAGAACAATATCATAAAGCTGTGGAGGTGACACGGGTCGGAAAAGAGGTAGGGAGCTCTGATGAGAAGCCATTTCTAGAGGAAAACAATTTTGAGAAGGTATGTTAGACCTGATACACTCGACTTTATGGATAAAATGTTTTAAAAACTGTTCACACAAATCAGTGGAGAATTCTAATGAGGCACTAGGAGCGGGATTTAAAAAGACATTAATCGTATTAAAAAGTATCTTTGGCCTATATGCATTTTGTGCAATTAAATCTGACTCTCTGAGCTTCCTTAGCAGTACTCTGATACCGTTTAAGACATTCTCTGAAAATTTTGTATGATATCTGAAGTTTATCTTTCTATCTGTGTCTTAAAGGGATAGTTCACCCACGTCATCTTTTGTTGAGTTTCTTTTTTCTGTTTCTGGTCTCCATTGACTAAAAATACAGTTGGGGATCATCAATAGATCCTCATCATCTTTTGTGTGAGAGACCTATAAAAGATGAATTATGACTGTAATATTGCACAAAATGAGTGATTTGAAACCCAGTTAGCTCTTGATCCATCACCAGCATCTAGTTAAACCGATGGATGTTTTTGTGCCATTGCTATTATAATCACGCAAAGACTGCATTATATGGTCCTGCAATGACTAGTTTTACTCCTAATGGTTTTGTTGTGAATGTTGACAGAGAGCTCAGCCTGACGAACTGGAGAAGATCAAGAAACATTACGAGACGTCTAAAGAAGACGAGGTGAAACTTCTGGATAAACCGGAGCTGTATGTCATTCAGTCGCTCTGATCCTTCTCTGAATAAGTCGTGGGTTGTGTCAGAGACCATATATTAGGATAATAATTGTAACATTTATAACACAGTCCTGCATCTTCATTCTGTTGATTTGCAAAAAAGGCATAGTATCAGTACATTTGATGATGCTGAGTTCAGAAATATCAATACAAACTTTCCATCGAGTAGTTGTTTTTTTACAAGAGAGAAATTAGGATGTTCAAATTCTATATATGTATCAGCTTTTAAATAACAAAAGCCGTGAAATGTCAAAAGCTTCAGTTTTAATGACAAAAAGAGTTTAGAATGCATCACTGAACTTCAGCAAAGGACTGGAAAAATATGTTCAAATACTCCGTTTAATGTCAAAGACCTTTACAAATAAGCAAAATAAGCTTGTTTTAACAAAATCTGTCATTTTCTCTGTCTGTTTGGTTGCAGTACATAAATCTGACCTTGAAATCAGGATGAGGTTTATAACAGTGTTCTAACTGTGAAAATGGGCTGAGAATTGATCAAATAGACAGGATTCATGTGTTTATGATGTTTTCCTGCTGATTAATGAGCATTGCAAGACTTCTTCAATGCACAAATGATTCTCAAAAGCAAAAATGCTACAAAATGCATCATATTTCTCCAGCAAAACAGACATTATTTTTGGAATCAGTGGCTCAAAATGAGCAAGAAACGAGTATTGGATTTTATTCAGCAAATATAATGCAGGACAGTGTTATTATAACAACATCTGAATTGATGATTTGCTGAAATCAGCATATTCTGGTTCACATTCCATGTACGACTAGTTATAGTAGAGTTCCAGGTTAAACGTGTTAAACTCTGTCTGTATCATAATTATCACGAAACAATTTTGACTTCAAACCATCAGCTCATAAAAACAAAGGTTTTGAAAATATCGCCACAAGATCTAAACTTTATATATAGTGTACTGTCAATATGAGACTTTAAGAGCCTCATGTGAAGCCAAGAAGCCACACATTTACAGTAGGATTTACTTTAAAACTATATTCACTCAGAAACTGATAGTGATTTTCACAAATAATTACAAAGAAACAGCAAGTAACATTGAATTGAATTAACATTAACATTAATTAAACATGACTGAAATAGTATTTTCTTTGTCAACAGGGTTAACATAGTTAACTAAAACTAAAACAAAAAATGTTACTTCACTGAAAAAAATGATGCTACATTTTTTTTAAGGTAAGTGGTTACAAACAATTTATTTTAGCTACATTTAATAAAAAAATATGTTGAAAGTTAGTCAACTACATTTGTTTCTTTAAATGTAGCTAAAATAAATTGATTGCAACCACTTACCTTAAAAAAAAAAAAAGTAAATTCAATGAATAATTTTTTCAGTGTTGAAATAAAATAAATATTAACTGAAATGAAATATAATAAAAAAACTTAAACCTATTTTATTTCGGCAACTTTTCTCATTTTTGCTTAGTTTAATTTGATGTACTAAATTAACAAAAAATTGAAACTGAAATAAAAAGTATTAAATAAACATTTAAAAACAAAAAAATGACAAAATTGCACAAATTAAAATTTTAATAAATTATAAAAATTACAAAAAAAATTAATTTGCTAAAACTTGAACTAAAATGAACATGAAAGCAGAAATTATAAAAAAATAAAATCTAATTCAGAATCTTAAAAACTATGACAGTACTGTATATCAGTGATCACTGAGTGTAAAACATATTCCAGTAATCTTTGTTTTATTTTTCAAAATGATGTATTATACTTTGTTTAACTTGGAAAAATATTTTTTTAGTGTACCACACAAGAACTGACATCCGTAACGCAGCATCAGACATTCAGTCGTTCCTCAAAAGGATGATTAAACGCTTTACAACACATTATTATTACAATAAATGCCTCTGCTTTCTAACCCTGCTGAATGTCAGGCGTGTAAGTGCGTTAATGTGGCTTGTTTTTTATGAACTGAAGGGTGAGAGATGAGCTCTCAGATGCTGCACAAACATCTGAAGCGCTCCTGTAAAACCAAATCAGCCAGCTGTGTGTGACCTTTGACCCTCGCTGTAGTGCGTCAAACAGGAACGCAGCGATGCTCTGACTCGTGCCGCTAATATTCAGCATAATCACACTTAAGTGCACTTACTTGCATCCAGATTGGCGTGTTCGTGTGAAGACATTGTGCCGAGGCTGTTGCTCACCGCTTCGATCTCTTTCATCTTCCCGCGCAGATTCCTGTACGAACTCTCCCAGATTCCCGACTTCGCCCGGCGTGCGCACTGCATCATATTCCAGTCTGTGTTCGTGGACTCCATATCATCCGTCCATCGGAAGGTGGAGATCATCTCTGCTGTGTGCAAGGTACAATAAAGATCTGAAACGACTCTTCTGCTTTTCTGATTTATTTTGCCATTTCTTCTGTTATTGTTAACCCTAGTGAAAAATAAATATACTTAAAGGGTTAGTTCACCCAAAAATGAAAATTACCCCATAAATTACTCACTTTAATCTAGCTTGCGCTCACTGTTGTACACGGAAGCAGTGCGCATGCGCCGCTCAGAAGTGACGAACGCAGAAGCTCAGGGGTGAGATCAAAACAAAACAACGGTCACTTATTAGAAGTACAAAACGAGGATTTGTAAAGAAGAATGTCGGAGGATTTCGATATAAACCAAGAGGAGACTGGTTTTCCTTTGCTTTCTTTGCTCCTGTTAACAAACGTTGGTTTTCACGAGACTCACCGGCGCATGCGCAACGCTGACCTCATACGTCATCCTCCCGGAGCTGCTTCCGTGTACAACAGTGAGCGCAAGCTACAACGGCGAGTTATCCGTCACGGTGTGCAGCCCGCCTCGCCCGCTGTCACAGTTCACAGAAGCGTGGCAGACGCTGCCAGGGGTATCAGGGTGGGTTATGAAATCAATAAAGAACGGCTACACGCTTCAGTTCTTCCGCAGACCGCCCCGTTTCAATGGTGTGTTAATGTCCACTGTACGGGAGCAGAATGCCTCAGTTCTGCGAGAGGAAATACACAATCTTCTCGCAAAACGCGCAGTAGAGACAGTGCCCCTTGCAGAGCGTGAGAGCGGCTTCTACAGTCATTATTTTCTGATGCCAAAGAAAGACGGCGGACTCCGCCCTAAGGGTGAGTAATTTATGGGCTAATTTTCTTTTTTGGGTGAACTAACCTTTTAATTGTAAGGATGCACCGATACCACTTTTTTCAGAACGAGTCCGATACCGATGCTTTCATTTTTTTGGTACTCGCCGATACCAATATTTTCACAGCATTTGTAATTTTTTTTTTAATATTGGGTACAGAAACAAAATAATAATATGAATCATGTTAGATGGCTTCATTTAGCAAACAGATATTTCCTTCAGTTATTTCCACACTTAATTATACCTGTTAAAATGTATTGTATAAGCTTTTGTTACTTTCACTGTTCATTTTAATGGCGCATTAGAGCAGCTCAATATTGTAATCACAAAACGTTTTCCTAAAATAATGAAGGCAACCACTCGTTATACATTATACGAGTGCACGCATACTATTTGGTGATGTAATTTGTGTCACGCGCGCTGTACTCGGACCCTCGCGTACGAGTAAAAAACGAAATATACTTTGGCCTTTAAAGCAAGCTAAACACGTTTGTATTGGTGCAGAATGAGAAAGACACTTATATCCTAGCGCATTTCACACAGTCTGCTAGTTTCACTTCTGCTTTAAATAAAGTTGTGCATGCTTGACGTTTAAAATAAATGTTGTTTATAGTGAATGCACCTATAGTTTTTGTTTGCTTTATATTTACGATTTAGTTTTAATCCAAATGCATGCGCTAATGGAGCGAACAGCAATCAAGATCATGCAACAGAAGTGCGCGCTCTCGGACTCTCTCTCTCTCTTGCTCGCTCGCTCTCTCTCTCGCTCTCTCCTTACCGTCAAATAACTTTAGGAACTTGTGCATTGTTTTACTTACTTGCTTTTGACATATCCGACCGAACTACTCTCTCGCTCTCGCTCTCCTTACCGTCAAATAACTTTAGTAACTTGTGCATTGTTTTACTTACTTGCTTTTGAAATATCCGACCAAACTCCAAACTTTCCAGTGATGTCTGTGAAATATTCACTCGACAAGCTCGCGCACATCCGCTATACAGGCGTGGATATTAAATGTTTAACATTATATTAATTACTTACATCTACTTCATAGACATCCTTAATCTCTAATAACTCCATTCTACTCTCTGTTGTTCTGTTTTCAGTGTTTCTTTTTCTGGACACAGCTCTATTCACACGCTGTGTGGTATCGGCGTTTGGTATCGGGGCATTTTTACGAGTACAGGAGCGCAGTATCGGGCCCGATACCGATACTAGTATCGGTATCGGTGCATCCCTACTTAAATGTATTTGTAATAGCGGAGCGCAGGGCATAAAGTAACGCGGGGTTAGTTGTAACACAAGCGGTTTAAATATTTTCACACATGCTTGCATAACAAAATCTACAGTATTTACTAGTTACCATATCAACATTATATAGAGAAAAAAAGTGCGCCAAAATTCAAAAATCTTTTGAAGATATCGCTGAACATTTATTTTACCATAGTAAAATTACATTTCTGGCTTAAGTAAATTTTTCAACTCAGTTTTTATTATTCGTTTAAGAAGAGACAAATCTGCTGACATTTTAATCTCCGATCTGTTATTTATCAGTTTAGATAGTTTTTTTGTAATGCTTCAATAACTAGCAGAAGACACTAACCAGTTTTAAATTCCAGTTGCGCAGATGAGGAACGTTGTAACACTGCGTCACGTTGAGAAACAGGGGAATACAGACTGACAGTCAATGTTTAATGTTCAGAAATCATTTTTTTAAGACATGTAAAGCTTGTTTATGTGGGCCGTCTTAAGCATGGTTGCAAGTGTTCATTGTCAAACTCCGAAATCAGATTATTTTGAATTCTTAAAAAACGCCATTATTTTATTTGAAATAAATAATTATTTTATTGACAAAAGATTTCAGTTTGTCTTAGTTTTCATGAGATCAGATAACATTTTAAACTGTCATATGGTCATGTTACATCGTGCCCCTCAGATGTTACAATGTACCCCACCTACGGGGCATGTTGTCACAATTCACTTCCAATTTTTGAGGGAAAATAAAGAAAAACGTATACACTGTAATTATGAAACAAAGCAACATTTGTACTAGACAAGTGTGACATTACTGTGGATTAAAAAAAAATAATACTCTGAACCCCATGTGGATTTACACAAACTGAGAAGCTCAAAATGAACCCGTGCGCATTCACACTCATTTTGCCAGCACGGCTCACAAATGTAAGTGTTTTTCCAGACTTTTCTTGAGAATGACAGCGTGAAGGACGTGATCGGCCTCATCTTGGCCTTTGGGAACTACATGAACGGTGGAAACCGGACCCGAGGACAGGCAGACGGATTCGGACTGGACATTCTGCCTAAATTAAAAGATGTCAAGAGCAGGGTATGAAAATAACGGTAACACTTTACAAATATGCATTAATTCGTGCTTAATTAATGCACAGATAATCACGAGTTAATGTATAACTCATGAAGAACTAAACCATTTATTATTGATTACTACATCAGCAACTAATGAACATTCTGTATGATTCATAGTTTAAGTAATAAATAAATTGTTATTAGTTAAATGTGTCATAATGTATTAATTCCCTAATAACATATGTGACCCTGGACCACAAAACCAGTCATAAGGGTCAATTTTTCAAAATTGAGATTTATGCATCATCTGAAAGCTGAATAAATAAGCTTTCCATTGATGTATGGTTTGTTAGGATAGGACAATTAAGACAGACAGAACTATTAACTAATTGTTAAGTAACATGTCATTGTGGTTATGGATTTAGAATTAGTAGTTAGTCATGTGCCTCCACAAGTAAAGTATATATAACATAACATAATTATATTTTTGCAAATCATTAGCTAATGATTAATTATCTGGAAGTACTATTACTTAATGTAATTTATAAAACAGAGAGTTCCGGTGCTTGATTCTGATTGGCTGAGCCGCGTTCGAAGCTGTTGTAAATGACTCTACAAAGTAACATACACCTTTGTTTACGTTTGTGTGTTGCTCGGCAACCACTTTGTAGCAACCACAACTGTTTCTGAGGAACTACATTGTTTGGTGGAAGAATACTGTTTTTATTAATATCATTACACTTTATTTGCTCCGTTTTATTTTGTGAAACCTTACTACGTATATGGAATAACCGTTTTATAAAAGCAATAACCCCTGTGAAGCCGTGGTTTATAGTGAATTTAAGGGGGTTTTAGGCACTCCGCTTTCCTAACAACGCCCCTTAGCTGTTATAAATTCACTGTAAACCACGGCTTCACGGGGATTATTGCTTTATGTTATTAGGGAATTAATACATTATGACACATTTAACTGATAACAATTTATTGATTACGTAATCTATGAATCATACAGAATGTTAATTTGTTGCTGATGCAGTAATTATTAATAAATGGTTTAGTTCTTCATGAGTTATACTATATTAACACATGATGATCTGTGCATTAGTTAAGCATTTAATTAATGCATATTAGTACCACCGTATTGTAAAGTGTTACCAAAATAACACTCATAACATCTGCTAATGACCTTCTTTCCCATCAGGACAATCGTATGAGTCTGGTGGATTATGTGGTGTCGTACTACCTGCGAAACATGGACGAGGTACAGCTTTTATTTTATTATTTTTATTTTTTTCACTAAAATTTTTTTTTTTCTTTTATTGTATTTCACTGCATTCAAGATTGCTTTTCCGACCACACTAGCGGATATTTGTTTTTGTTTTAAGCAAAAACCCACTTAATTTTGATCAGTTTCTCATAAAACCAGACTTCATATCGTCATTTTGCATCTTAAGTGAATGTATCTTCATTTAACAATGTGTAGATATTTGTATTGAAAAAATACAGAGTTACAAGCAGAGTCTTTCTTGACAGATTAGCTATGTTTCCATCCAAAGTAATGAATTAAACTTATGCACTAAATTGGAATATCGCATAAAACAATTTGCGATAAAGCACCATTGATGCGCATTAAGGAATTTATTCAGTAAAAGTGTTTCCATCGTAGTTTATGTGCATGTTTTCTTTTCGGATAAGAAATTTATCCTACTTAGTTAAGCGCGCAAGTTTTTTATGCGCATTTTTAGAATTTATGCGCATCTTGGCGTTTCCATCCAGCGTCTTTTTATGCGATATCCTAATATGCGCATAACAATAGGTGGATGGAAACAGAGCTATTGTATTGTTGTTGTCGTTTCAGAACGCAGGAACAGAGAAGAGCGTTTTCCCGCTGCCTGAACCTCAGGATCTCTTCCACGCTGCTCAGGTCAAGTTTGAAGATCTCGCAAAAGACCTTCGCAAGTTAAAGAAGGAGCTGACAGGTATGAGTCTCATCCGTTTGTCTGTGGTGTTGTGCTTATTTAATGCTGAAGATGGACAGAACGACAGCATCTCACATTGGAAAAGTATAGCAGGCATCCTTTTACTCAGTGACCATAAAATGAGAAAGATGTTAATAGCGACCTTCGTCCCAGTGAATCTTTTGAATCTGTTTAGTAAACTGATTCACGGATTGGTTCAGTGACTCTTCTTGGGTTACTTTGTCAATATGTGGCGCGAAGTGAGTCACTGAATCATTCATTCAAACGATTCATTGAAAAAATACAGAACCAACTGGAACAAGAGCTTTATTCCAGTGACTCTTTAGAATCTATTCAGTAAACAGAGTTGTTCAGATTGATTCATGGATTGGTTCACTGACTCTTCTTGGGTTACTTTGTCAATATGTGGTGCAAAATGAGTCACTGTATCATTCGTTCAAATGATTCATTAAAAAAATACAGAGTCAACTGGAACAAGAGCTTTATTCCAGTGACTCTTTTGAATCTATTCACTAAAGATTGTTCAGATTGATTCATGGACTGGTTCAGTGACTCTTCTTGGGATTACTTTGTCAGTATGCGGCGCAAAATGAGTCACTGAATCATTCGTTCAAATGATTCATTAAAAAAATACAGAGCCAACTGAAACAAGAGCTTTATTCCAGTGACACTTTTGAATAAACAGAGTTGTTCAGATTGATTCATGGACTGGTTCAGTGACTCTTCTTGGGATTACTTTGTCAGTATGCGGCGCAAAATGAGTCACTGAATCATTCGTTCAAATGATTCATTAAAAAAATACAGAGCCAACTGAAACAAGAGCTTCATTCCAGGGACACTTTTGAATCTATTCACTAAACAGAGTTGTTCAGATTGATTCATGGATTGGTTCAGTGACTCTTCTTGCGTTACTTTGTCAATATGTGGTGCGAAGTGAGTCACTGAATCATTCATTCAAACGATTCATTAAAAAAATACAGTTTTGACCTGAGTTTCACCCAGAAGAGATGCATAACAATTCCCAAAAAATTTTTAGTTTTTCAGTTTAGTTTTTAGTAAGGAAATGAAACTTTGCAAATGCTTTAAGACCGTCAAAACATTTTTTTTCCCAGATTTTTTACAATTGCTGTTTAAAAAATACAATTACTGTTTAGTGTTCGGGTCATTTTTGAACCCGGGTGTGTATGGAGCACCATTCGGTGTCAAAAATAGTTTTTTTAAATGATCTTTTAAGTTATATTAGTGTAAAAACATTTCATACAATGATATATAAAAAAAAAATTCTCATCAATATTGAAATATAAATATATATAATTTATATATACATTTTTATCACATTCACTCATTAATGAAAAGTTGCTGATCAGATACAATACGTTTAATTGAAAAATATTTATAAAGTAACGATTATTTTGGTCCAATCGGACTGGGAATGTGAATATAGTCGGCTGATTTTGAATGCGTTATGAGGGTAAAGCATCATAAATGTTTCCCGCACAAAGCAAAACAATAGAAATGAGCGAACTGATGATGTTCATCACTCCGTCTGTCAAGTAACATGCAGTTAAAAGCAATTACTTTTCATTTTACACTGGAAAAAGCGTTTTTACCGTAGCCTGTGCTCCAGGCCACCGCAGGGGTCAAAGGTCACGCCCCCTCCCCCAGCCCCCGGTGTCTGCAATTATTTAAATCAGCCAATAATATGGCATATGAAAGCAATTAGATATGCTCTCTCCTCATTCCCCTCCATTTGAGAATCGCTGTTAAAAACCCTGATCCTCAGTGACCCGAGGGAAAATACAAAACCACTGCCGCCCCACCTCGAGCTGTCTGTAAATGTCTGTAAATGTAAATGTCACTCATTTATTAGCACGCAAACGCAAGACAATAAATGCAGAATAAGGGCCTCGCATTTGATCCACACCACAACAACAAAGCCTCAAACGCGAGTCCTCGGGCGCTGGCACTACGACGGCAGCAGACAGGGATAAATATTTATGCCGTGCCATCATAAAGAGCTGCAAGTGTTCCTAATTATTCCTGCCGTCATTTCTGTTTAAAGCGAGAGCGCAGAGTTTCTGGATGAATCATTAATAGCTCAGATCAGGTATTGTAGGGGCATATGATTTCCATGATGCAGAAAATTCTGACTTCTTCACTACAACATCATGACAGTAATACATTACTATTGTACAGTAGAATTTACTACTCAATAATAATAATAATACTACAGTTTGGAAAAATTGTTTTTTAAAAAAATAATAAAATATAGTTTTTATTTATTTATTTTTTTAAATATATCGATTTTTCATCTTTTTTTTAACACTAAGCCTCTTTTGTGCATTTGAAGGAGTTGTTCAGATTTAATTTGATTGCATTGATATAGGGATTAGTTAAATTGTTAGTTACATACATTTGATTAACAAAATTTTTGGTAATAAATTTGTATGAAATCAAAACACAGAATTCAGAAAAATTAAAACAAAATTTCTGGAAAAAAATAAAAGACATTTCATAGGGCAGTATTTTTTATTTTTTATTTTAATAAATTATGAAATTGTTATTGAATTGATTAAACATCATTTTTGATTGTTACAATTAAATTAAACCATTAAAATTGATTTCAGAAACATTTATAATGGAAAACACAGAATTTGGGAAAAGAAAAAATAAATCTGGGGAGGGATAAATCTGTAATTCAACTCATTATAAATCCTTTTTCATGATTACAATTGAATCCAATCATTAAAATTAATTCCAGAAAAATGTAAACATAAAACACAGAATTTGGGGGGAGGGGGGGGGAACATAAATAAAACATAAAATTTTAATAAATTCTGAAATTTTCAGAATTCAGTTTATTGTACATCCTTTTCAATTATTAAAATTGAATTAAACCAATAAAATGGATTCCAGAAAAATTAAAACCGAAAACACAGAATCTGGGAGAAAATTGAGCAGAATTTGGGAAAACAATTAAAGAGATTTCATAGGGCCGTAATATTGCGATCTCTGGCTTTAAACTTTTAATAAATTATTACATTGTTAAATAAATTGTAAATTCAATTGATTATGCATCCTTTTAGATTATTAAAATTGAATTCAACTTTAGAAAAATTTTAATGGAAAAAAAATAATTTGGGAAAGAATAAAACAGAATATGAGAAAAGTTCATAGGGCCCTAATATTGAGATCTCTGACTTTATTGGCAATTTGAGACATCATTGAAATCTATTTAAATTCTAGAGGAGACACATTTGAGTCTATTTTTTCTCGGAAGTATCTTTTTGGAATCAGCAACAGTTTCAAATTGCTCTTCATTTAAATCCAGACACTGCAGTGTAGGAGAAATAACTGATATCAGAGACGGTGGGTGACGCCTCGTGTGTGTTTGCTGATTTCACACCCGCGGTGTGTGACACGGAGGGGTCGCGACACGGGGTCAGTCTCAGGGGCCGCTTACACGTCTGAACTCTGCCCTCCGCGCCGCTCCCTTCAACTTTTACCAGAAATCTGATCTCCATTCCAGCTCCTTAGAAGGGTTTCATACCTACAGTTCACCCCGATGCTGCTGATGGAGTTACTTCTGTGTTCTTAAAGTCACCTCACTGTCTCTTCTGCTCACCAGGGCTGCATTTATTTGATTAAATATACAGTAAAAATGCTGAAATATTATTACGATTTAGAAGAACTGCTTTCTGTGTGAATATGTGTTCAACTGTAATTTATTTCTGTGATGCGCAGCTGTATTTTCAGCATCATTACTCCAGTCTTCAGTGTCACATGATCTTCAGAAATCATAATAATATGCTGATTTGCTGCTCGAGAAACATTTCTGATTATTATCAATGTTGAAAACAGTTGTGCTGCACAATATTTTTGTGGAAACCGTGATGCATTTTATTTTTCAGGATTCACAGATGAATAGAAAGTTCAAAAGAACAGCATTTATCTGAAATAGAAGTCTTCTGTAACATTAGAAATCTCTTTACTGTCACTTTTAATCAATTTAGTGCGTCCTTGATGATTAAAAGTATTAAATTATTTATTTATTTATTTTTTAATCTTGTGATCATGTGACACTGAAGACTGGAGTAATGATGCTGAAAATACAGCTTTGATCACAGAAATAAATTACATTGCACAATATATTCATGCAGAAAACAGCTATTTTAAATTCTAATAATATTTCACTGTTTTTACTGTATTTTTTTTATCAAATAAATGCAGCCTTGAGTGGAAGAAACTTCTATCAAAAACATTAAAAATTCATAATTATTCCAAACTTTTGACCGGTAGTGTATATCATAATTAATTCAGATAAATGCATCGATCAGATGCATCTTAGCTTGAATTCTAGCATTAAATACAATATTTTCTCTTTTCTGTATAGAGCGGACACACTCGAGTTAAAGAAGCGTCTAAAAGCTGAAGTAAGGTTAATAGCGGAGACAAACTAAAGCATTAATCAGAACCTGTATGTTCTGTCTGCTGTCTCGGGTCAGACGCTGCTCTTTTGATGAAGCCGCTGGTGGGGCGTGTAATTTCCCGGGGAAGCGCGACCGCAATCCTGAAAACAAAACCCCACTAACCTCTTCATGCACGGAGAACACGGGAATATCCAGCCAACTTTGGGCAAAATAATGAAAACACAAAAGAGACCAAAAAAACTTCAGAGACGGAAACCACAGCTGTTTGTCTTACATTTTAATGACAAAGAGACAAACATCATCGCATGAGTAATGGTTATCAAAGGAGAACAGCTCTGGACTGGCCGTTATTGAGCGTTTCCAGATGAAGCGCTCTCAGACTGAAGGATCTGTATGTGTTTGAGTCTCGTTTACTCACATGTCGGAGTTCTGAACGACGCTGTGACAGTCTGTGAATGTCTGAAACTCCTACTTTGAGTCTAGAGGGTTCCATAACCAACCGTCGGCGTTCTAGAAGCTCCAGCGCATGTTTTTTTTTACGGTCCAAATGTCCAGTTTTTAATGTATTAGGAACATTCCATCCTATCATTTTCAAAAACATCATCAAAAAAAACTAAACGTTAAATCTGAATGTTCTCTTAACATTTAAAACAGCTGTTTGTTATATTTAAAGAATGTTTCTTCTTGGTCGTGTGAATGTTCGACGAACATTCCATTTCATCATTTTGAAAATTTTACGAGAAAGTTACATTTGAATATTATCTCAAATGTTTAGAACACCCATTTTTTTGTATCTGAGGAATGTTGGTTCTTGGTTACGCGAATGTTAAAGGAACATTCCGTTTTGTAATTTTTAAAACTTTAATAAATATGTAACATTTGAATGTTCTCTCAACATTAAAACATCTGTTTTGAGATGTTGTTTCTTGGTTATGTGAACGTTCGAGGAACGTTCCAGTCTATTATTTTGAAAACGTTCTGAGGATTTTTTAATAATAATAAAAAAAACACATTTCCCCCCAAGATTTAGTTCATCGGTTGTTTAATATTCCACGAATATTGCTCTAAGAACATTTTCTATTAAAATGTATCAAAAACAAACATCATCATTGGCTGTTACATGAATATTATAATCAAATTTCTTTCTGCTAACATTACAAAAACATTGAACACACATTAACGACACGTTTTGAGAACATTGTGCTAAGAATGTTTCCTCTCAACACTACAAGAACCTATGTCAGATATGAATAATGTTGTACGAACGTCACATAAACATTATTTGAAGAATGTTTTGTCCTAACATTTACATAACCTTTAATAAGAGCGTAAGTGGTGCATCAATGGAGCCCATATGCCACGAGTGGAGACAATAGAGGCATTCCTCGCATCCTCCACTGTTACAAATGATGAAAGAGCGAATTAACCAAAACCATGCTTGTACACGCATACAAACTTCGTCTCACACGGCTTTAGACGTCATGTTTTGGAAAGTCTTTCAGGGGACAAGACGTTTGTCTGGCGAGCCGGCCGGGAGTTATTTATATAGCATGCAGTGGATCATTTCCATCGCAGCAAAGCCGAAGAATTTCAGTAGATAATCCACAATTATATACAACCTCAGAGCTCTGTCAGAGCCGTATAAATCCCCGCTGTTACCCGCCTGACAGGCCGAGGCCGGCGCCTCGAGATAAATCAGCTCTCGTGGTTTTACAGGTTAGACGATGGAAGACTCAAGACTGCAACTGAAGCTCAATATTCAGTCCTGTTTCAGTCTAGATTCATTAGATGTGTCGTGAGTGATGCTGTGATCCCACAGTCGATGCTCTGTTTATTTTCTGTTCTTATTATTTATTGATTGTTTTTTATTTTTTAATGCGATAACCTGATGTCATCATTTCCATCATTTGGTTCCCCTTGTCTCTTCTTTAAGTAGCCATTATTCAATATTTATTATGTATAATAACTTGTTTTCATGAAGTCTGAACTTAAGCGCTTGTTTCTGTGCATCAGATGCTGATTGGTTGGAGGTGGATTTGAAAGCATTCTTATAAGAAAGAGGTGGAGTTTAAGAGGATTGACATTTTTGTTACTTAAAAACAAAATAAACGTTAACTGACATTAAATATATTATTTCAGCTAGTTCAGTTTAATTTAGCTTGAACTACTAAAATAGCTACAACTAGACAATCTATAACTAATAAATAAAAAATTAAAACTATATGGGCATATTAAAATGGCAATAAAATTGCTAAAACTTTAATATTAAAGTGTAAACAGAAACTGAAAATTAAATCTAATTCGAGATATTATCAGTCATATAAAACAACACTAATATATGCAAATCAATAATTTTTTTAAATTTTAATTTTAAAAACTACAACAAAACCACTGAAACTTTAACTAGGGTGAAAACAAAATATAAAAATTTAATCTAATTGAACATATAAATAAAATAAAATAATTAGTCATAAAATATCACTGACATACGCAAATTAATAAAAAAAAACTATATATATATATATTTATTTATTTTTTTTAATTACAATAATACAACAAAATTACTAAAACTTTTATTAAAGTGAAAACAGAAAATATATATATATAAAAAAAAAAATCTAATTTAAAATATTAGCCAAAAAAGATAATAATATATCAGTGATTCTAAAAGAACCCTGACAAATGTACAGTTGAATTGTTTACAGCAAGACTGATAATATGCATTTACAAAATAGATTTGATCTATATATGTAATATATATCTCCCAGGGATTTATTGGTGAGGGTTGAGGAATTGTTTAATTTGATTTGTAATGAAAAACCAATAAAAAAACTTATTAAAAACAGATTCCATTTAACCTGTAAAATTATTAAATACAGGTAATTATTATTATTAATTGTGTCCTTGAGTTAAGTAAAGATATGATGTAAAGATAAATCATAGATGAACTTTCAGAGAACAAATCAATTGCGTTTTTTGTAAAAGTATGAGGTTTATATAAAAACAAAGCTTTATAAAAATCCATATTACAGCAATGATAAACACATGCAGGTATTTACTAGATTCATTAATGCTAAACATATCCATACACACACGCCGCGTGTACACGTTTGGAGGACAGAGAGCGGAGCTGCTGAGTGATTTCTGTGAGTTTGTGTGAACGCAGTTGTTTGGCAGCACAACAAAGACTCTGTGAAGCACAAACAACACAAACTCCATCCACATCTGTGCTGCTTCAGAGACACATGTCGTCACATGACATCTACAGCTCAGCTGATTGGCTCAAAGATGCGAAGCATGCACTGAGACGATGATGATATCGTATCAGACAGATTTCAAACTCACCGTCATCATAATGAGCTGCATACTCTGAAATCATTAGGAAACTCATAAACGAGTCTCATGTTTGACACCAGAGCAGTCGGTCCGGAAATCAAAAGCATTCTTGCTCTGGTTCCGTTGAATTCGCTCCAAAAGCGTCTTTGATGCTCATCTGTTTGAGATGAGATTCACACACCTCTTCCTCATGTTTCTCGTTTAACTCGTTTATGGATGTGCTGGTAACGTGATACGCAGAACTCACCTGCGCTTCATTAATTCACCGCCTTGCTGCTTCACTCAGCAGCCCATCAGTTCCTAATATCATACCATTCATGCAATATGTAGTTAGAATGCGGTGCGTTACGGGAATGTTGTGTATGCTTAAAAACTCTGTGGCAGATATGCAATGCAATGCACTTGCCATTTCTAGTGTGATAAATGAACTGTGTGTGACATCAGCTGCTCTATTGGGAGTCAAAGTTGAATTAAAATGAGACTCCTTTAATTAAAGGAATAGTTCACCCAAAAATAAAAATGTGCTGCAAATGTGCTCATCCTCAGGTCACCCGAGATTAGGATGAGTTTGTTTCTTCATCAGATTTGGAGAAATGTAGCATTGCATCAGTGTCTCACTGCAAGTGAATGGGTGCCGTCAGAATGAGAGTCCAAACAGCTGATAAAAACATCACAGTAATCCACAAGCAATCCACAGCACTCCAGTCCATCAGTTAACATCTGGAGAAGACAAAAGCTGAAACAAATCCAGCATTGAGACATTTTAAACTAAAATATGAGTCCATAATCCATAATAACACTTCCTCCAGTTAAAAAGTGTTCTGGTCTGAATCAGGAGAGAAATCTGCACAGATCAAGCAGCGTTTACAAGCCAAAACAGCCCAAAACTTGACATTTTTTGTCTTCTCCAGATGTTAACTGATGGACTGGAGTGGTGTGGATTATTGTGATGTTTTTATCAGCTGTTTGGACTCTCATTCTGACGGCACCCATTCACTGCAGAGCATCCACTGCTGAGGCAGTGATAATAACTGGATGGGACTGATATCAGATGTGATGTCTGATGTGTGTACTTGTTTTAGTAGGCCGTATGTAGTCGGTATTTCTGATTCTTCATGTGTTTGTCCTGCAGCGTGTGTGAAGGAGGTTGAGCAGGTGTGTGAAAACTCCTCTGAGGAACATCTACAGCCCTTCAAGGACAAGATGGAGACCTTCGTCAGCACCGGTGAGTCTCAAAAACATCCCCTTCACCTGTTACAGAAATACAGCATCTGACTGGGTTCCTCATCAAGCAGGACTAGACCTGGGTGAACTGGTTTTCTGGTCATCTGCATCATCAGTAGGAGAAATCAATCAACTGATCAATGTAGGGATGTCAACGATTCATCGATGATCGATTGTTGATAAGAGATGCAATCGATTAAAGCCATCGATGGTTGATGCGCAAAACACGTGCGAGCGGCTGTGATTCATTCATTCATGTCATTCATTCATAATGTACAAATTAAGCTTTTAATGTGATTTAAACTTTAAAAGTACATTAAAATAGAAACAACTCAAAGTTCTTCAACATGGAAAGCAATAGAAATTATATAACCTAATAAATATATATTCTTAATTCATGGCCATGAAATCTTTCATTTCCCTTCCCGCATGTTTACCACAGTAAGAGATGCGAAAACAGTGATTAAAAGTGAATGACAATAAAATAAACCTGTGAAATTAGAGGGTTAGACGGTGAGGATTTAGGAAAAGAAACAAGGCCTAAATATTACTGAATTTTTGGAAATTCGTGACCAACCGGCAAACCAGAACAAAGCCGCGTAAATGTAGGATATATGGGCTCGAACGGCATCCAAAAGCATGGTCGCGATGTAACATTAACCAGCTAACCAAATATTCCTCTAATAAACAAAGCTTTTATGTCACACTTATGTCATAAGCAGAGCTTACAATTTGTAAATAAATAATTACTGGGTTCAAAACAGCAATTAAAAGGCGCTGTGACCGACACTGACACTGACAACACATTTTCCCGGAGCATTCAATGATGTCACTAAACGGTGATGCCACAACTAGAGCATCGTTCACGAGTTTCTGCAGGACCTAACTAGCCCAGAGCACAGGTTTTCAAGCCCTGGGACAAAATGGGATGCTTTAAGGAAAATGTATAGCCTATGTAAGTTCCATAAACAAGTTCACGGAAAGGAAACCGAGAACCGAGATGACAACGCGCATCCTGTTCGTTTGCTTTATTTTACAAAAGCACAAATCTTCTGTTTTTACTGTGAGTGTGCAAAAATAAAATAAAACACTTTTGCGGATTATATCTTACTCCAAAAATTGAGTTTTTTTAATGTTTCAGCTGTTCGATCGCTAAATAGACCGTAGTATACCGGTCCACTCTGCTGTTATGCCAAGGACGTTTTTGCTCATGTGAAGAGGATGATCTTTTCCGTCTATATGCGAATGCGTGTAAAGTACAAGCCTAGTTTACATTATAAATAATAGTTTAACATTCAAATACTTTGCGAATATGGAAACATTTGGATTTGTGCCGAATGAGATACATCTAGCCAAACCCGCGCTCCGTCCTCGTATGCATGCACGCACGCACCGTCACGGTCTAATGCACTGTAAATGCCGGATTTTTAAAAACAAATAGGCCTACCGGAACGCAAAAATTCAAAATCTGACATTTTCCGGAACAGGATCCAGCAGGATCAAATTAAGTACTGGTCATAATACTCATGATAATGTTTCATGTTAGCAACAGTGTGTTTTGCTGCAGCAGCGCCGATGGAAGCAGTTCACTGACTGCGCAGCACAGCCACACGCGCCACAGTTACGTTTGGGATAATTTTATTTTAAATGCCATAATGTCAGTTGAAAACATTGCAATAGTGTTTTAAAATACAATAACGAGCACCAC